TCAGATATTTGGGTAGAAAATAGAGCAGATCGAAAGTTTTTGGTTTAATCTCAAACCAAATATTGAAAACTAGCACTAAACAAGCAAATCGACTTCATCTATAATGGAATACGCAAAGAGGGCTTTTCGCAAAGATGAAATATTCCATAAAAATCATGTAATTCGGTTCATTATGGGTGAAGTCGATGGGTCGATCTTTGAATTCGACAACGTTTTGGTGGACTAACTCCTACAGATTCAGTAGCTCTTTTCGTTGCTCTTCGTAGTCAGGATTCAACTCGATTTCTTTCATCACAATTGACCTGAAATTGGATATTTGTTTGAAAATACGCTTTTCCTGATTTGTTTGAAAATACGCTTTTCCGCAAAAAGTCTGAACTTCTTAGTTTTAAGAAAAAGATACCGGAACTATCACTGATCACTTTGAAAAGATTAACTAATTGTACAATTTTAAGCTTTTTTTGAATTTGAAAAACCTTAATTCGCATTTTTGTGCAAGAAATTTGTTTTGAAAAGGCTATATTCACAAGAGTGGCGTATTTACTTACAGATTGTAGCTTTTGAGGAGGGAAACTTGGTCGTAACCGCCTCGACGGATCACTATCAATATTTTCGAAAGCCATTTGAGAACAAAATTTTTAAAACCAACAAAAAAGTATAAAGAATCTTGTCAACTTTTTTGCCTTTACGACTAAATTTGCGCAATTTGCGACACAAAAGGGGATCGATACTCGCTTTCTCGAGTCTCTTTTGCCCGTTATCTTGCCCTTTTTTTCTTTAAAATTTGTGCTCTTATTGAATTTTTCGTGACAAATTGTAAAGAATATTGAAATTTTTGTTTTGATTGAGACTTGAAATGGTAAATATTAACGTTGAAATTATAAATATCAATTGTTAGGACTCTTTCTGCCCGCCAAGAGATCTTTTCCCCGAAAAGTTTTCGCCTGAATTAGACCAAGATTTTCGAGATGTTGAAGAAATTCTGAAGTTTAGTGGTGGATCAAAATATCATCCGCCGATTGGATCGTTCAGATTTGCACTGAATCTGCTGGAGTTCGGGAACCATGAGAGTAACGAGTGGATTGCGGGAATCGAGAATGAAAGGTACGATTTCTGACTTTTACTTTCATACAAGTTAGTTTTGAACAAAATAGTTTTGAATTTTCGGCTCTTGCGTAGTTTCCGGGTGTTTTGAACGGATCGTCACGCTTTGAAGGTCTATAACTTTGTCCAGAAATAATATTTTGCTAACTCCTTATATCATTGTAAAGAGGAGATTTTAGGCTTCCAAATGATACCAAATAGAGCTTAAATGGATTTTACATTCCCATGCAAACAAAGCGACACGACACCCGAGTTGGATAGGCCTCATTTGCTGAGAGTTGGCTCTGATTTTCTTGGACTGGATGATCCAGTCAAGCTCTATTTGGCTCTATTTGAAAGCCTGCAATGTTATTTTCTTAGACTGAATTCTCCAATCAAGCTCAAGTTAATCAAGGTAATCCATAATCCAGTCCAAGAAAATCAGAGCCAACTCTCAGCAAATGAGGCCTATCCAACTCGGGTGTGGTGTCGCTTTGTTTGCATGAGAATGTAAAATCCATTTAAGCTCTATTTGGTGTCATTTGAAAGCCTAAAATGTCCTCTTTACAATGAGATAAGAAGCTAACAAAAATATTTTTTTTCTCTGGACAAAGTTATAGACCTTCAAAGCGTGACGATCCATTCAAAATACCTGGATTTTTCCAAAATACTCGGAAACTACGCAAGAGTTTTCTTTTTAGAAAGAAGACCACAGATATCTTAACAGTGTATCCTCTTTAGGGAATGTGATGAGAAAACAGGTGAATGGCCAGTTGCATATCACGGAACATCTTTCGAGCAAGCAATCGAAATCGTGAGTAGAGGTGGCTTTCAAATGGTGAGATCTAAACAAGGTTGAGTTGTGGAAAGTTAATGTGATCGAAATGCGTAGATACGTCCACTAATCTCATCGTCAGTACCTATTCCAGAACTCTCATTTTCAGCCTCCAGACAATCCATCCGCTCGAATTCACACTGTTAACGATCCAAAAGTTGCTCTCGGATTCGCAAAAGAGTACAGCGATTCAAAGGGAGAAACGTTTAAGTTGCTGTTTCAGGTTGGCTTTCCTACAAACACCTAAATTAAAGAGCAATTGGCTTCTTTTGAGAACGAGCTTTTAAAAGAGTTTTTTTCCGAAGAAAGACGAGTCTTGGCTTATCTGTTTGACTGAACTGGGTAATGTTTGCGAAGAAAGTTCGGCCCCTTTTGGATACTTTATTTTGTAACAAAACTTTTTAAAAAAACTGATTTAAAAGGCAAACAAATGCTTGAAAAAAATCAACAATAGATTTTCGATTCCAGGTTCGAATCGACTTGAAAAGAGCAGATGTGATCAAAAAAGACGGCGTCGAGTACTGGAGAGCACGTTGTGTGGACGCCATTCGAGCATACGCGATTTGTGTCTACAAAGTTAAATAAAGTTTTCAGTTTTGACTTTTATGAAGTTATTATGGAACTTTTTATATTATATTTTTTAAAGCCATGTCTCATGCTCATGAGAGAACAGCTGGTACGTTGCGCTACTTGAGACATCTCCAATCTCTGGCCCAATTTGTTGTATCGAATTTTTCCTGAAAAAGTAACAGTGACTTTTTACTTTGTGAAATGGAATCTGGTTAGTCAGCAAAAACAAAAAAAATACTGGATTATCAAAGCAGTAGTGCTGTTTCCGATCGTCTCCTGGAAAACTCTTTATATGGTTGAGTGGTGATAATGGTAATCAAAGAGGAAATGGTGGTATGGGCACAGCGAATGAACATGTCTGTATTTATGATCTATTGGGGGGATTCTTTCCTTAAAGTAGGACAATCAGAACTACTGCAATAGGGGCCAGATTTGGAAGAAGAATGGGATCAACATCTAAATCCGAATTTGATCTCGAAACACAACAGTTGATTAGAACTTTTCTCATTACACTGTTCGGTTTAGTTCTGTTCGGTTTGGTTACACAACAGGTTTGGTTATGAATTTTTGATTCTTGCGGATTCTTTTGATTCTAAAAGTGACGTTTCTGCTCATTTTGAGTCACACGAACGAATATTTTTAATCGTTGTTCAGAGTTAAGTTCTGCTTATTGTTCTTTACTGTAATGACAAAGAAACACAAGACTTTTGATGCATCCTCTTCGTGCTTGTACTCATGGCAAGGTTGTAAAATAAAATGAAGTAAAATGTAAAATGTAGCACGTAAAATCAATGCTACATGAAGATGAAGGTCTGAAAATTTTTGACAAAAAAAATTCATTTTGAACGTTTACCCTTACTCCAATACTTATTGAGGAAAAAAATAGGAGAATCATAACGCCGAGGGCCGTTTTTCCAATGAAGTTCAAATATGAAAACAAGAGGCGATCAAAAATGTATTCTTTCGTGTTGTTGGTAACAGCTTTTGCCACTTTTCAGGCTAGCTAAACAGGTACGATGACTTGAAATCCTAAAATTTTTAAGTTCTTAAATTTTGTAGTTGCATATCAGTCGAGAATCCTTAAGTCTAGATAAATCTTTCATTTCAATCATTTCGAAATGCTTTAACATTCAAAATGACTTAAATAAAATAACGGACGCTTTTGAATTTAATTTTCAACGGGAATAGCTTCATTTCTGATCGAGAATAACATATGATTTGTCTTGAGAGAAGATTATTCTTTCATTTTGATTGAAAACTTTCAAAATGCTACTACTTTTGATAGTCGCATTGATTCTCAAATCACTAAAATCAGCAGTAATCATCAGTTTTCTCAAAAAAAAACTAATCCAGTTTATTCTAATTCTTAAAAATCAGTTTCAGGCATTGGTAAATGAAAGTTTTTTAGGGTTTTAGCGATGACTCATATGACTCATATGGGGACTCAATCGTGTGAACAGTACGGGGATTCCATGGTTTGCGTTAAAGGAAATGTGAGTTTTCTTTTCTTTTTAAAGTAGCATTTAAAGTAGATTGGTTTTAAAGCAAATCAATTTCAGAAATGCTATCATTTTCCAGAAAAGAGTTTAAAGAAAAGTAAATTCAATTAAAAAAGCTAAAATAATAAATTTAAAAACGAGAAATTTAATTAGACTTAAACTTTTGAGACCTTTGTTTTGTGTGTGGCCTTTAGCCGGCTGTTTAAATCATGTTTAATATATTTAGACCTTTTATGTTTAAATTTTCAAGAAAGTTCATCTCAAAATTTATTAAAAAAATGTCTTAAATCTTAATTTTACTTGCATTTAATCAATCATCGAAAACTTGGATTTTCATTCGTTTTTTTTACCTCCAAAGTGCTCCAATTCGTGGGCTTCCATTTCCAGTTGAATTTTTGTTTTAACCTTTCTTTGATTGCTCACCTAGTTACAATCGATCTCTTGAGAACTATAATTAACGCCTTTTTCTCCACAAAAACTGATTATAATTTCAGTGTTGCATTTAAGTTCGTTTCACCTGTTGAAATCTTTGATTCAAAACTTTGTTTCAAAACACCATACTGTTGCTTCTAAAAGATAGACTGTTTGTTGTTTTTTAATAAATTTTAGCTTTTTTATTCATGATAATCATAGATAAACTGTTTGTGTTTGTAAAAAAGAACGGTTTCTCCGGTCGTATCTGAGTATTAGTTTTTGGTTTACAACCTCAACTGGCAATTTCAATTCTTCAAATTCTATTAGTCCACAACCTAAGCAGCAATGTTTGTTCCAGTTTTGAGTCCTTTAATTCTGATGACCTGGTCTTGGTCTCAATTTGGCTTTGAGAAAATAGATTAGATCGAAATATCAGATATTTCGCTAGAAAATAGAGCAGATCAAAAGTTTTTGGTTTAATCTCAAACGAAATATTGAAAACCAAGATCTTTAACTTTTTAAGAAAGTTTCTAGCCTATTAGACTACAATAAACATTCACATTTTCAGCCCGGATCTCAAAAAACACAAGTCTTGCTAAATGCGAAAGCTGTATTCACGGTATTCGGACATTTTTTACGTTCTTTTAGGAACTGTCCTTTTAACAAGTGAGTTCAAAAGAGAAAAAATAGCAAAAGTGATCTTTCAGCAATAAATGAACTATTGGCAATCATTTGTAAACAAAAGTTCTCAATTTTGATGTTATCTTCAATTGATGTTTTGAATATCGGTCTTGTAAACACAACAATCGATTGGATCAGCACAGTTTCTTTAGCGGTTAGAGACACGACTGTGTCAAAAAGCTGTGAACTTGTTCAGGTGATTGTATCAAGTCTTCCACTCAATATCATTGCTGGCTACTATTCGCTGATGAACGATCGTTTGGCATTTCCGATTCGGTAAACGCCACTTGTCAACCAGAAGTAAAAGGATTTCATTTAAAAATGAGATCAGTTTAACAGTTTTCTACAACTAACAAGTGTTCTTTTTGTGTGACCAACACAAAAAAAGAACATTTCGTTTAAAAATCAGATCAGTCAAGCTTTAACAGTTTTCTGTAACCAATAAGTGTTCTTTTTGTGTGAGCAACACACAACACCAACTTTGTGTGCGTGTGATCAGTCTTTCTGAAAACTTTTTATTTACCTTTCAATCGTTTTTTTTCAGACTACTGGCTTTCGGAGAGAACCTGAGCAAGCTCTTCTTTGTTTTCTTTTACGGTCTACCCAATTTCTGTCAAATGTCCAGTATGAACATACAGTTGGTCAGACTAAGAATGCTTTTTTAGCGTTTTTAGATGTCCATCAATCGTTTTGAGCTCATTGTCATGGTTTTCAATGAATATCTCCCAATATGCTTTCTTCGATTCAGCTCAATACTGCCAGTTGATGATCTCTGTGAGGTAATAGTAAAATGAGTTGATCTTTTAAGAAAAACTTTTGAAAACCTTTAAAGCTAAATCGTCTAAAGGGCCCAATTTGATGCCTGTGGGAGTTTAATTGAATTTGGAAAGCCTGGCCAACACCAAAATCATGTTAAACCAGGTCTACCTGTCTAAACCAGGTAAACCTCTGTTAAACCAGGCTAAACTATGTTTGAATCAAATTTTCTTGTTTTAAACTTCAACTCAAACTTTTCAGCCGCTTCTTCGCAGTCGCCTTAAACGGTCAGTACTTCCACTCGACCCTTCGTTTCCCATGGGCTCAACTTGTGATTCCATTTGTGATCGGAATGGGGTTGAGACGATTCTTTGTGTGGGCCACCTCATCCGCTCACGACACATCGTATCTACAAATCCTTGTTTTCGGTATCCCCTATTTCATGCAATGTTCAATGGATTTGGTGACAAATCGGGCAATGAAAACGGTAAAATAAGCTGAAGGTCTTAAAAGTTGGTTCTAGTTGATTCGGAGTGAAAAGACGACGAAGACTGAACAGTTGTTGATGGTTCAGGTACAGTTTCACTGTGTATTCATGTACCGTATTTCTTCAAATAGTGCGCCGGGCTTTGAAGACCTCAAAGAGGTGGGGCACTATTTGATCTGGGGTTATAATCGAAGCGTTTTGAGCCGGAACTGGTTCTGACGGCCAGTAAGCTCAAAACCGCGGTTCTGGCTCCAGAACCAATACCAAATCCGTAGTTCTGAGTAGAGATATGAACCAGTTCGAACTTGATCGGTTCAGTTCCGAATCGATTTAGAGGTATTGGTTTTCGATCGGTTTCGAGATAATTCAAGGGACGGATCGGTTCGATTCGGTTCAGAACCGAACCGATTTCCATGTCTAGTTCTGAGCTTAGAGCGGGCCTTACAACCTTGGTAAGGTACCAGGTCAAGGTGGCCTTTCAAAATGAGATCTAGTGTACCTGCTAGAGCTTTTTACGCTCTTCCGAATCCGATTTTAGTTTTTCCAGTGGGACCTATTTGGCAAACAAAAATTGCCCTCTAGCACAGAGTTAAGTGAGCCTGGGACACTAACCTTTTTCCCTTAATCATAGCCATTTTTAAGTCTCAATCTTTCAGATGCTGTTCAGCTCTTGCTACGTACTTACGTGTACGATTCTCAGTTGGGTCATACAAATCATCGTGCAACTATTCTTTGGGGTCAATATTCAACGAATCCTTGTAAATCTGCTCACTTTCAATAGATATTTTCTGTTTTTTTGTGTGTGCAAGTTTGTTGCAGAACTTCACCATCAAACAGTTTCAATTTCAGTGTTGTCAGCGGCATTTGCTTCAGGAAACGAAAGGATAAACCCAGTTCTGTTTTACTTGTGAAAACAAAAATGGTTTTGAAATTTTTAAGTAGATAAGTGATCTTGTGCATAAATGATGGGTTAAACAAATTAACTTGAAAGTAGATCTTGAAAGATCAGATACGTTTCACCTATTTTTCTGCAATTCTCATATTGACTGTCTACCAACGATTTCACAACAAGAGCAAGACTAACAAAGAGCTATGGAAACAACAGATTTGAAATGTGAATCGGTCGGGGAACCATCTAGACGACAACAATTTCAGATTTGTTTTTCTGATTCTGGGTCGAGCTGTGCCTAAAATTTTGGGATTTACATTTTATCTAAACAATCCTGCTCTGGAGTGAAAAGAAATTGAAAAGTTGTTAGCGTTACTTTTTTGAAACAACTTTCAAAGAGTAGTTCACAAAAACTATCAGCTTATTGTGTGTGCTTATAAAAAAGAACTGTCTTCACTTGTTTTTTTTTTACCCAAGCAGCACTCAACCCGTAATTATACAAGCAAAAATGAATGAGGCAACAAAGTTTTGAGTATCCAGTTTGTAAATAACAATACACAATTTCTCGTACAACGTCCCATTGATCCGAGAAAAGCTAGAAGCTGTCATTTTTTGGTTTCGAAATCCCGGGTCTTGGAATTTCGATCTGACAAAACCTGAAACCGGAAATCGAATAAAGAAGTAGAGTGGGGATAATAAAATTCTTTTTTAAAAGCTTTTAACATTCTCTAACACTTTTCTCTACATTCCAATGCCACATTTCTGAACAAAAAAAACTATGAATTGGTCCGAAAAATTTGCGTATTTTGTTTATAGATGATAATGTAAAATCTACCGCTGTGCGGCTGGTAAAGCAGCTGTGCGCACATTTTTCTGCATAATTCACAAAAGGATTAGGTTCTGTTATTTCTGTTCCTTTTGCTGAAAAATGTAATTATTATAGTTAGGCACTTTTACCAACCAAGAAAGAGAAAAACCGTTATGTTATGACAATGCCAAATTAAAAAGCGAAGTTGTACTCTGAAAATTGATCACTCTTATAGCATTGTACCCGTTGATCGATCGATCTACTCGAGTTTCCAGCGCTCTTCATTTTACTATCAAGCCATTTTGAAGTCAACTCCTTGAGAAATTCCACTTCACCTTTTCGTGTTCTCCAAATCGCTTCTATCTAAAGCAAAGTTTAGTTTTTGAATAAACTTTTCCATAACCTGTTCCCTTCTTTCTTTAATGACAACACTTTCCGGTGAAGTGTAAACAACAAAATCGTTGATCCTAAGCACAGAATCTTTGTTTTTTATGAGAAAAGCTGTACCAGAGTGTGCCAACATCTGGATTCGTCAAGATTACATTCGATAAACCATAAATCAGCTGGGCAACACTTGTCACTTTGATTTTCATGCAGTTTGGGATGGTTTCCTGAAAAATTGTGGTTTAAAAAAAGGCTTTTTTCACATAATCTTTTCCATTCCATAATCAAAAAGACTTTTTTAAACCCAAGAACAACTTGAGATTTTCTTTTTTCGAATTTTGTTGTGAAAAAAAATGAAAATAAATCTTACAAACGCACAATTTCACTTGGGGTCTCGTAGAGCTCGTAGTTTCGACAAATGAACCGGATTTCTAAAGATTTTTGTTTTTAAGTTAAGATTTTAAAGTCTGAGTTTACAGAAAAAATAAGAAAATTGAATTTCAAGCGTTTCCAACAAACCCTCATTGTTCAAGCTCCACAAATTGAGCTCTTGTGGAAGTGCTTTCAACAAAAAGTCAACCAAAAAGTCACATCGCTCACCGTAGATCGTTTTACTGAAAGATTTGAATTTGAAGTTTTCTTTATCAAACGCACAAATCAAACGGGGAGACTTTATTCTGTGATAGTCTGTTGACTAGCAGCATAATGCCATATTTGAGAGAGTCCACGTATTCCGGCCAGATGTAATAGTTTGTGCGAAAGATCTCCACAATTTCTTTCAACCTTTCATCACACATCTGAAAATTATTTGAAAATATGCAATAATGAATCAAAAACGCTTGTTTATTTTGGGAAACAAGAGGCAAATATTGCACTTGTAAAATCTTAAGGCTGTTTTAAGCAAGCTTTAGTTACAATTATGAATCTTGTTCTTTTTTTTGTTGTTCTTGAATTGGAAATCAAGTTCTTTTTTGTTGACTTAAAATCATAAAATTTTAGTTATTTTATAGTCGTTTTTGTTTTAAATTGGATAAACTATGGTTGAAGCTCATTGAACAGAAATAAATTGAATATAAAGTGTACTTTACCTCTTTATAGCACTTCTCATAAATCGCGAGATAAGCAATCGATTCAACGTCCATGTTTTCTAATAGAACCAAAAATAAATTTGAATCAATGAACAGGATTGAGTTGTTTTTTTGGGGGTTGCTGTTGGAAACTGGCTACCTAATTGAGAAGGAAAGAGAAGAGAAAGTGAAGGAGAAGGAAGCGAGGAAGTGAAGCCTCAACTCGGGAGTTCCGGCGAGCAGTTTTCGTGACATTAAATCGTGACGTGACGTGACATCGTGTCGTTTTAAGTTCTTCAAACTTGAATCAAAAGTCGGTTTTGTTAAAATCGAGTTTTCTGGATCTGAAAAAAATGTCTCTAGTACCATTGAAGTAATCTAAAAATAAAATTTAACAGTTTTTCGGTCTTAAAACGGTACTATCTGAAAATTTACATTGAAAACGAGGTTTTACTGCTCTTTTTCTTTTAGAGCTATTTTTTATTCATGATCAAACCACAAAAACAAACCAGGAGATAAGTCTTACGATGATTTTCTCTGTCGAGAACTAATCGACGAATGAGACAAACACAAGAAACGTGTCGCTTTGACCGATTAATTCTCACAGAGACAGAGAAGATCTCTGACATTTCTCGGCTTTACGTCTGTCAGTCAAACGAAAGAAAACTCAAAATGATGTTCAAAGCCGGTTTTTCTACGCAAAAATAACTTGTTGATTATTTCAGTGTAACTCGTTGAAGTCAAAAATATTCGAGATCTTCAACATTCGTTTTCACATGTTCAATGCTTTTGAAAAAGACTGGGAAAAGGTCCACGTTGAAGCAAAACGAAATTTTGATGGCGACAAATGGTAGCAAGCTTTTCTCATCCTTTAAAAAACATTTTCTTAGGCTTGAGTTTCTCGAGGAAAGATATAGTTTTATATTGGATTACATCGAAAACATTCTCCCTCCAATTCTCGACTTGCTCAATTCACCGCCAGAAGGTTGTGAGTACAAGAGGTTACAGAAAAAAAAGAGAAGAAATCTTGGTTTAAGTTCATTTCCACGTTTTTAGAAGTGAAGATGTGCTGTCAACTGTATCCACAAATTTACAATGAGTATGATCCGGTCAAAGTTGTACGTTTTTTAATTGAGTAATATCAAAATCGTTTACAGGAATCAATCGGTGACTACCATCGAATTCATATGCCCGACGTGGTGTCTAGAATCTATACAATCCCGCTCGTGATAATTGCCCATGAGAAAATCAAGTCAATATGGTAAAGGGAATTAAGAAGCTAATCGTAAAAAGCAAATGCAAATTTAGGCTCTCAATTGAGGACAGCTGTGCCTATACGTCGCCAGAAAAAAGAAAAAATGAAAGTCGAAAGCAAAAGGTGTTATTAGAGAGCATCTTGGTTAGATTTGAGCACAGGTTCTCCAATTGGTCGATAGATTTTCCTAAATCTTTACAAAATTGCTGATCTAACCAGCTGACAAGGGAAGGTCACAAGGCTGAGGTGACCAAATGGCATGAGCTATATTCGATACGACGCAGAATTTTACGCTCATTCCGATGCTGCTATCCGTTTTTGCAAAATGATTCGGAATCTAGAAATCTAGAAAACAAGTTTGAAATGAAATTAGAGGTCAAAAATCAGTCTTTCACCGTCTCGAAATGTGGGTTTAGATAAGTAGGTAAGAGTCTTGTTTCGGAAGCAAGCTATCAAGGTTTTTACTCGAGTTCGATCCTTCCTTTTCTTTTCATCTTATTTTAATGTTTTACCGCTCGAATTCGTAATCGTGCCTCATCCGGCCTAGTTAAGACGTTGATATCCCATCAACGCCCTAGTACTCCTAAAGTTATTGCTAAGTTTAGTCAAAGAAAATCAATTCAATATGGTAAAGGGACTTAAGAAGCTAATCGTAAAAAATAGAGCGAATTCGAGCGGTTAAAAATCAAAATAAAATGAAAATAATAGGTCGGCATCGAACCCGACCAAAGACATGATAGTTTTTTTCAGAAATAAGGCTCTTATCCACTACAACACAGGCTCACATTTCCGGACGGTGAAAGAAGCGTTATATAGGAACTGTTTCGCTAATTTGACCTCAAACTTTTTGCCAGAATCTTCACGTTTCCAAATCATTTTGCAAAAATGGATAGCAGCATCGGATACAGCGTAAAATTCTGCGTCGTATTTGGCCACCGTTATGAGTTAAATTTTAAATGTCAGCCTTTTGAAATCAAAGAGATTTTTATGTCTGATTAAAAGGTCACATTTATCAGCCTGAGACTTATCAGCATAAAATGACTGAGTCCCAAACCAAGGGACATGTCAAATACATAGCAAAATGATAGCAAAACTTTTAGATAATGACACTGTGGCACAGAAAAACTGCTCGGGAAATGGAGGCACGGCCTGACGAGGAGCCGTCGGTGAGTGAACAGTCTAAATAGCCAAAGTCTTCTATTTAGCCAATTGCCAAGAAACTACAAGAGATATTTGCAATTTACAACGAACGATACTCGCTAACAGCCGATTGGGCTTCAAATTTAAACGAATTTCTCAGCTTACTTGGCCAGGCAAAAAGAAAAACGGGGAAAAGTGTTTCCGAGTGGTGAGTTTTTGAGCTTTTTAAACTTTAATGTTGAAGACGTATTTTAGAAGTTGAGTCTGTCAAACTTAGAGTGCATGTTTTTACAACTTTGAAGCTAGGTGTTTCAAGCTACCAAGTTTTCTAGCTCTTTAAGTTCAATGAATAATCTGATCATAGCCATTGCTCGACTTGCAGCTTACTTGGAATTGTTTCTTACACTTTAAATTATTTCCAGCTCTGCTATTATGGAAGAACGATGTGATATTTTGATGGATTATGTGAAAAATGTGCTTCCCCAGGAATTGGTCAAGAGAAACTTGAAATCACAGAGTCTTTGTCTTGTCAGGCAACAAAAAAAATACTCAACTTTTAGATTTCAAGCAATTTGGTCAGAAACTACAGGCTCTCAACTCAAAGCCGCCAACACCAAACAAAGTTTATTTTGAATGTTTCTAAGAAAGAACAGCTATAGGAAAAGATCCTAAGTTCTCTGAGGATCGAAACAACGCTTACAATGGTCGTTTTGTACTTTATGCCGGCACAAATTCTTAAAAGTTGTGATGTTAACTCAGTTTGGTATGTAAAAGATTCCATTTTTTTTAGTTATTAAGTGTTTTTAAAAAGTTTCTTTTAAGGTTTTCTGATGATGGAAAGTTTGCTTACACGTCTCCAGAAAGAAATGCGAGTGACGAAGAGAAAAAGAGAGTTCGAGAATTTTAGTAGTAAATTATAATGACAAAAAAAAAGTCTTTATCACCGCATTTTTCAATTTTCAGATCATGCATCTATGGAAGCCTAGTGAAGAGAAAAAGAAAACAAGGAAATCGAAGAAAAAAGAGATTTCAACAAATATGGAAACAACAGTAGAAGAGGAAAAAAAGCAGACAGAAGATGAAAAAAAAGCCTCTCGTTCTTGAAGAATCATTCCTAACAAAAGACCAATCAATACAAACCGATTTGCCAAAACCCATAAATCTTCTACAACTTCAAAAAGAATCTAAAGAACTTGAAAAAGTTCACTCAAGGTTGAGTTGATTGAGCAATTTATGGTGACATTGACTTTTAGTTATAAAGAAGACTTAACTTTGAGAATTGCTGATCTGATTTGTCCAATCTGTGATCAAGAATGCAAGTTGTTTCTAAATTTACACAAGAAAGAAAGTTTAGATGAAATCGAGGAGAAATACCCGATGACAATGGTTCCGTGTGGGCATTCTGTGTGCGTAAAGTGTTTTCAGAAGTTGTAAGTTGAAAGGAAAAATATTAGGTTGGTGAATTGAAAACTGCGGGACTTTGAACTAAAATTGATTCAACATAAAACCATCAATTCATTCCAAATAATTTCCATTATTATTGATGACTTCTGCCCATTTTACAGGCAATTTGCGGATTCCTCTTTCGTGGTAGGATTTTGGTTTGTGTGTGAGACAAGTGTGAGACTCAAAAATGGAGGACTGGAGATGTCCCAGTTTGAGCATTTGAGCACTTTCTTCAAAAGAAATCCATTTTAGTGTCAATGGAAAAGTTGTAGAGAGTCAAAAATCAAGCTTATATCCAAATTTTCAGAACGATTCAAAAACTGGTTTTCAAGAAATGGCAAAAATGACGAAAATTCACAAAAACTTGCATTTAAAAAGCGAAACTACTAAGTGTATCTTTTTGGAAATTTGGATATAAGCTTAATTTTTGATTCTCTACAACTTTTCTATTAACATCAAAATGGGTTTCTTTTGAAGAAAGTGCTCAAACTGGGACATCTCCAGTCCTCCATTTTTGAGTCTCACACTTGTCTCACACACAAACCAAAATCCTACGCAGAAAGAGGAATCCGCAAATTGCCTGTAAAATGGGCAGAAGTCGTCAATAATAATGGAAATTATTTGGAATGTATTGAGGGTTTTATGTAGAATAAGTTTTAGTTCAAAGTCCCGCAGTTTTCAATTCACCAACCCAATAGAAATTAAATATTTTCAGAGAAAACTGTCCGAACTGCCTTTCATTGATCTCATTTGGAGTTGTTTCGATGGCTTTTTTAGGTTTGATAGATTTCGTTTGGTTAGTTGTTTAGAGTTTAGTTTAGTTTAGATCTCATTTGATTAGTTTCAACTTCTAGGAACCATAAAGACATTGAAAAGGAGGAAAGACGGTGAAAATCTTCTGGAAAGAGAGTTTCTGACTGAAAAGGAAGAGAAAGAGGTTGAAGTAAGTTTTTTTTGATTGGCCAAGACACCTAAAACGAGCTTGATAGTGGAATGGTATTGAATTTTAGGACAAAGATCAACAGCTCTCAGCCACGAAAGCAAAGACATTCTCTGCAAGTTTTAGAAAATTTTCCATGTACTTTTCTAAACAAAGATTAACAAAAATTTCTCAAAAAAGGGAAAACTTTTAGTTTGATCGAAGCAGATTGGAACTTAAAGGACTCCCACAAGGTTGGACAACAAAGAAAATCCTTGAGAAACTCTTTCACAATGGAGAAATGGTTGCTCTTTATGATGGAAGGTTGATTAATTATTGAAAAGACTTTCTATTTCAGCCCAACAGCTCAACACATCCAACAATCCCTTTTAGATACGACATTTCAACGCGGCTAGATCGAGATCGTCTAGATTGTTTGGTTCGCTTAAAAAATGTGAAAATTGGAGAAAAAGTAAGTGCCCCAAAACTTAAGAATCACAAAAATCTTTACAATTTACAATTACTTTCTGTGTAAATCTTTACAATTTCAGGCATACGAACATTGTTTAAAAGTGCTTCTGAAAGAGGGATTGAGCGATGTGAAAATCGATTTTCTTCAACTCAAACAAGACTAGAACTATTAGCTTGGCAAATATGAAAGGTTATTTTTTTGATCATTTTTGACATAACAGAAAAATTTATTTAAGCACTTTCAAAATCAAATGTATTCACCAGAAGCATTAATAACTTCTTTCCAACGTCGCTCCAAATCACGAATGCCGTCCTTGTAAAATTGAAGATTTTTAGAGGCAAAATAGTTGGCAACCCAATTTTCGATGTCCTGCTTTTGTTTGAACTGCTGTCCAGAAACTGCTTGTTTCATTGACCGAAAGAGATGGTAATCCGATGGGGCTAGGTCAGGGCTGTAGGGTGGGTGAGGAAGAAGTTTCCATCCAAACTTATCGATCTGTTCGTGGGCGACCTTTGAAATGTGCGGCCTAGCATTGTCGTGAAGAAATCTGACCTTTGATGGATCGATCCGCTTTTTCCTCAGTGCTCGATCGACTCGACCCAGTTGTTCTGCATAAAGTCTTCCATCAACAGTGTCTCCTTTATCTAATATTTCAAAATGAGCCAATCCCTTAGCATTCCACCACACACAAAGCATAACTTTTTCGGAGGCTTCGGGATAGGATGAGAGGTCTGCTTCGAACTGAGCCACTGTCCATAGAGTTGAATATTCTCATACGAAAACCAAGTCTCATCAGATGTCAAAAAATACTTCTAAAAGTCATGATGGATAACTTTACGTAGAAGAACAGAGCTCAAGGTGACTCGTGTGACTTTGTGGGCATCAGTGAGGTCGTGGGGAGCCATTTCCCGCTTCGATATGATTTCCCAAGAACGTGCAAATGGTTTTCAATGGTAACATGAGTGCATCCGAACTTTTCTGCTAATTTTCTACACTTTTGCGATGGATCCAAGTCGACCTCGTTCAGTAACAGCTGATCGTCCAAAGTAATCGGCGGCTTTCCATGTGGTGCATCTTCCAATCACTTGTTTCCCGTTTTGAAGTGATCGTACCAAACACAACATTGTTTGTAAGTAAGAGCCGCTTCTCCAAACACAGTACAAATGTTCTGATGGCATTCCGTAGCTTTCTTGTTTAACTTGAATTCAAAGAAAATGGCGGCCCTGATTTTAAATTTTTGGTTATCCACCTTTGCCGAGCTGAAACAATACAAATATTGTTCAAAACAAAAAAGTTTTTGCAAAAAAACATGAGCACATTTTGACATATTATTGAGAAAAATCCTAGACAGCGAATGTTCTTCGTAACGACAGGGCAATATTTTTGTAAAAATTAACCTTTCATATTTTCCAAGCTAATAGTTTCTCTTGTACTTTTTCTCTTTTTATCGTTTGTTCTTTTTGCAATTCAAATTTTGGGTTGGCCGATAAGTAATCAGTAATCTCAAAACCGATAAGTAATTTCAAACAGAAATATTTATTCAATAAGGTCATCTAAATCAATCAAAATAGTTTCAAAATAGTTTTGCGATAACCTGTGTTCATTTTACTAGTGGATGCCAAATTTCTCTCTCGTAAAAAATCAGTCAAAGTAGTTCTGTATTCATTTTTTTGTATCTTTTTCATCTTTAAAGTATGGCAGATTGTGTACTGTCTGATTTCGTAGTTGTGGCTGCGATACAGATAAATTGTTCTATAAAGCAAAGTTTATTGAATTAGTTGGGCTGGTTTTGTAGGGTACTGTTGTTCTTACCTTAAATACTGTAATAGTACCCACCCCCTCGTACAGTCGCGTAGTCGAAAAGTTTTTTAGTATTTCATTTTTTTCAAAGCGCCCGTACTTTCAAGAAATGCGTCTTTGGTATCAAAAAATAGCTGAAATTCAGGGCTATTTTTTGATACCTAAACGCACATTGCAGCATAAACCAGTGTCGAGAAAAACTCGTTCAAAGCTAGACTACGCAACACTCCCGCACCGTCATTAGGGGGGTTGGGTACTATTACAGTATTTACGGTAGGTTGGTTCCAGTAGTTCAGGCTGCAGAAGGAACCTGTTTTGGTTTTGAAGTTGCATCAATTTTGCTTCCTGCAGCAGTTGGTGTGAAAATTGGAGTTGAAACTGTTGCATTTTTGCAGAAGTTGTTGGAATAGTGAAGCTTGAATCGGCTTTTACTTTGCTTTTGCCATCACTTGGAATTCGTGACACTGGTTTGGGTATTGCTGAAGTATCAGATCGGCTCTGGTTTAGCTTTAATATCGGTTTTGAATTTGGAGCTGGATTACTGTTGCTTGAATCAGTTTTTGCTTTTCTTCAGCTTTCATCTAGTGCTAGTTTGGGTTTTGTTTTAACTGATTCATTAGATTTAGCCCATTTTTGTTGCACTGTTGGCCTTAGAGTTGAAGTTAGAATGGTGGTGCTTAAGGCTGTAGAACAGAAAAGCAAGAAACAAGCTAAACAAAAAAAATGGTAGGTGTTTCAAATAATTAGTGAAAATGTTATGATAAAATGTTTATTGTCCAAGTAAGCGGCAAAACGGTGTTGCAAGAATCAATGGAGTTTTTGAACCAATTTCTGAAAGCTTTTTTGTCCTTATCTCAGTTATGGCTTTGCTTAATTTGTTACGAGGAAAAATCTCCAAAATGAGAAGAAACGAAACGAGATAAGAAGATAAGAATAAGAGTGATTCTCCACAAATTCGCCCCTGAAAAATTCATTGATTTATCAAATCCAATTTGTTCTAGAACAAACTTATTTCATTTGTTGATTTCAGTTGATTTCCATTTGTTCAAGATTTGTAGAAACTAGAAACTCGGTTATCAAAAAAAATCGGATTTTACTTTGCTTTTGCTATCACTTGGAATTCGTGACACTGGTTTGGGTATTGCTGGAGTATCAGATCGGATCTGGTTTAGCTTTAATATCGGTTTTGAATTTGGAGCTCGAAACAACGAAACAACAGTATACTTGCAATGTATTTTCAAGAAGTCTTTACGGTGTCTCAATTTAA